AAAGTACGGTCTTAAATATTCTTAGAATAAGAATTTCCCGTTCTTGTTTTGTCAAATTAAGATTCAAAAAGCTTCAAATAAGAATAATGTACTTATATTAAGAAAAAATAAGCTTAGAACGAAACTAATGTGTACTCAAATCAAGAACATAACAGATATTCTTATTGTTGGTCTCAAAATTCTTAAAAGAAGAATCAAAAATCTTAAAGTTGAATACAACGACGCTGTACCGTTATTCTTTACAAGTCATGGCATGCATACGCTGCTGTCGGCGTGCCAGCAGTACTCACATCTGTGTTGTTGTTTATATGTATATCTGTGCAAGTGTAGCGACATTCATACGCCGGCCAATCGTAGTTGCCTTTGAATTTTTTATACATACATATAAGTATTATTATAAGTATTAGCAAATTTCAGTGCATCTAAAGTTTCTGAGGCGTTGTTTACATTTAGTTGAGAATTGTCAAAATCGGCAAATCCCAAGTAGGTTTCTGTAACGTGCCACATTTGTTCGCTACATCATGATGTGATAAAAAGAAACGCTGGCAACACTCCGCAAGGTTGCAAAAAAAAATTATGTTCGAAAAATATCTTGATATGGAAGGAACCGCTTTACACTGTCAAGGAAACAAAATGCCAAAACTCAACGCAATTTTTAGCAACTTCAATCTAGCACTTTGTTATACTAAAGTTAATTTTTTTTTAGAGTCTAATTAAAAAGTTTGCAATTTAGGTGAAACCTTACAGAATTTCTTTAATTTTTGTACAAAGTTTGATCCAAAGCCTGAGATCTAACACATTTTTTTGAAATCTACCAAATTTTTTTCCAGATTCTACCACACAGATTTTTAAGTCCGATCACTGTTGGCAGCAGCAAATATTTCTTGTACGCGATGAGAGAAAGTAGAGTACCTACTTTGGTGGAGTAATAGCAAGTACGTCAAGTATTTACTCTCTCAACGCCAAGTAGTGTATGTATGCGGAAAAAGAGTAACAATGTGTTGGGAGTAGAGTACAATGCAAGGAGTACTTATTGAACGAAATGCGGCAAATACACTTGCGCTGGACTCGAATACATATGTACGTACATTGCTGATGGCACCGAGCGACGTCGCAGTGTGCGAATAGCGGTCCAAAAATACTACGTTGAGCAATTTTTTAGTTTTATTTTTGTCGCGTGTGAAGTCGGTTGTTTTGTGATTGGTAAAATCGAAATAATGAGTGATATTGAAACAGAGGACAAAACGCAAGACGACGGCCTGTTAAAATTATTAACAGATTTTAATTTGCCTGATGTGCTTCCTTATTTAAGCGGTAAGTGAGATGAAAATTTTCCACACTAAAATTCAAGTAGTTTTTGTACATGAAAAAATTTGCAAAGTTATTAACGTAAAATAGTCATAAAATATGGATCGCAGTTGCGACCATAGCCAAAAGTGAATTTTTTTAAATCGTAAATGTAATTTACATGGTAGTGCGTTGAAAATATAACTAATATAGTAACTAATATAACATGCGTATGTATGTATACATAACTTTTTTTGTGGAAAGTTTTTTAAGAACGTTAGGTGTCATGATTTTTGCAAAATCCCTGCCGTTGGCATGTCCAGAGCCTTGTGAATTTCGCTCGTTTAGGTTGTTCACAATAGTATATTTTTCACCGCTGAGAAGCTTTGTTTACAAATCGAGCAAACTAAATAGTGTGCTTATACATATTTATGTAAATTTGTGTAAATAAAAACGAAATATAAAGGAAAGCGAGTTTATAAAAACGTGGTAAAAATTAGTACAACGGAGTTCTGGTTGAACGATTCGTCAGAGGATGAGAGCATAGAACATTGGCCAGGAACAGAAACGTTTAAGGGCCGGTTTTTCAGTGCCAGTTTAAACTTAGATTAAGTAAGTTGAGTTTAAATTTAACAGCTGGCTGGCATTTGATTGGCTGATCTTAGTTTAAACCAGCCAGATCGGGCGTTTAAACTTAGTTTAAACCACGGCCGTGCACTGATAAACAGGCCCAAAGAGAGTTTAAGTGTAGTATTTTGAATATATTTTGACATACAATATATTTAAGAAATTTTGTGATCCAAATCTGTTTAAAATATATTAAAACTATAAACAGCTCTATGATTTTGTTCTCAGAGATCGTGCCAACAGAGTATTGGGATTTTTTTCACAAGTAAAACTAGCCTTTCGAGCTTGTGTTTAGTATTCACGACGTTAGAAATGAAATTAATAAAACACGTTCCAAATTAGTGTCTAGCCGCCAAAAAGTAAGAAAACAAATGCAAAATCATAAACTTTTCACAATTTTCTAACACTTCGCTACACCAACGAAAGCAAAATTCTGTTCGACAGAAAATAAGATACTCAACGAAAATTTCGACACGCTTGCATAGCTCATAATACAAATTACACTTTCGATCTTCGATAGTCAGTCCTTATTAGTTTTGAATAGACGATGATACAATTTCCGTGCCATCTAATGTGGGTGCTTGGCTAGAAACGACAACAGAAAATATAAAGCAAATCCTAAAAAAGGTATATGTAAATTTAATATATCAGAGTGTACTGTGGCGAACAAAAATATTGGCACAGACAATTTTTCACAATATATAAGAAGGTTTGTATTATAATTTTTTTTTTTCGATAATTTTTTTTTTTTAATTCTAAGTATGCAGTTTTATAGCCTATTCAATTTTGATATAACAAAGTGGAAGTTTTAAGTTGCTGCAAAATCGCGTAGTTTCGAAAAATTTTTTTTATGCAGTTTCTTCCATAGAAAGTACAGACAACTTTTTTTATATGGAAGATAATTATGGCACCGTCCGGAACAAAAATAAATGTTACTTTCTAGCAACTTTAAACTTTTTTATAACACTAAAATTTGAGCGGGCTATAAGAGTCCATATTTGGAATTTTTCTGTAAATCTGAATAGAAAGGTACACATTAGTATGCAAATTTATTGAATTATCCTGACTTTTTTACAAAGTGTAGTGTAGTAGGAACTTTCTTAAAAAAAATTATCGAAAAGAAATTAGAAAAAAACTTTGCATGCCTATACTGCAAAAAATTCTCTATGTGAATAACTTTATTTGTCACTATATTATTTATTTCTTACTACAGGATTTGACAACTTTGCTTAAGAATTCTGTGCGAGGCCGAGCTCTTCTTAAGTCTGACTACAAAAATAAAACGCTTACAAATGCACAAAGAGAGGATATAATTAATATTGTATTGGAAGAGGTTATTTCAAAGAATATTAATCTTAGAGTGCAGGACTTTCCTTGCATAGTGGATGAAATATGCTCCATATTTCCCAGTGAAGTTAATATGCAGGTAAATTTAGCTAATATACAGTGGCACTCATCCAAATAGCACACTTTTATTTTTTACAACATTCACAATGTTTTACGCGATAAAATTGTGTCGTTAATTTTTTATAAAAAATTGTAGATTCCATAACATAAACCGTGTAAGTCAAAGTTTAAAACTTTGTGTGCAGATCAGGAAAATTTAATAAATTTCAAAAAAATTGCATCATAATTTTAAAATTTTTTAAGAATTTTTAGAAACTTAAAAATTTCAAAAAATTGCATCATAATTTTAAATTTTTTTCAGATTTTTTTAGAAATTTTTTGGGTATGCAGTTTTGTAGCCCATTCAATTGTGCAGGTTTGAAAACTCTGAAAAATTCCGTTGATTTGTGACTTTTTTGTCGAGGGTGTTGCGTAAAAATAGATTTTGCTGATGCTGAAAATTTTTGTAACATCATTTTGAAATATGTTAAATTTTCCTGAACTGTACACAAAGTTTTAAACTTTGACTTATACGGTTTATGTTATAGAACGTACTGTGTTTTTATAAAAAATCAACGAAAAAAATGTATCACATAAAACATTGTGAATATTGTAAAAAATAAGAGTGTGCTATTTAGCTGACCGCCACTATGCACATAGTTTTCTGCATTTAAAATAGGACTATTTTCCAATATTTTATAGGACTATTACTTCATTTCGAGGCAAGGAAAAAACAATCTGTCTGGAAAGTTGTATTCACAGTATAAAAACCAAAAATCGAAGCACCGAAAGGTTGAAGGTTTATCTGAGCCGTCTGAGAGCAAAGATAAAAACTATGCTAACAGATCGATTGTCCAAACTCCAGAAGTTGATGAGTCGGTTTCCGAAGCATATAAAACATCCTTAAACAGAGACTGTGCGGATTGGGCCGAAGTTTGCGACAAATGGAATAAAACCTTTCATTTAAGGCAGCGAGACCTATGTAATTTGAGTCCCTTGGATTTTTTTTAAGCTTGGTCAAAATTGTCACATGCACAGGCTTGATTTGGTATGAAAAAACGATTAATTGTTTTTCGTAGTGATTTTATTTATCCATTTTTATGGTAACATTTTATTACAATTTATGGTAACTAAGAAGGGAATATCTGGAATTAACCGTGTACTTTCCGTTTGTAATTTACAGATTGAAATTGATTTTCAGTTCATGTATTCTGAGAAAACACATTTATTCCTTGCTAAATGGGAAACTTTTAAAGCAAAAATTATTAATTACTATGAGAAAAACATAAGCAACGAATACTGTAGGCTAGGGATGCCCAAATCAGCACATATATGTCGCGGGCGACTGCGCGTGCAAAGCTTTGCACAGCGGTGCTGGACAAGCAAAAAGTTATCGGAAGGGGAAAACGAAATCAAAAGAATAGTGAGATTGTATGTGACAGTGATGGAAAATGAGTGTGCATTGTGCCATTTTCGGCACCAGCCGGCACCTTCAGCACAATCGATTGATTTTCGGCACTATTTTTGCGTAACTCAATGCAACTAATAAATGTTTCTTTCGGATCGGATTTAATCGTATGTGCTTAAACTGATAAATGATATAAACATAGAAACGCAAACAGAAGAATCTCGCTTCCACATTCTGCGTATGCGCTTAACATTTTTGTTTAAACAAATTTGCCGAAATTTCATCTCTAAAGCAAATATTAAATATCATTTAATATATACTTTAGATTTAAATAATCATTTTAGCGGTGGGCGAGTCCGAGATGTTTAAATGATCGAGATAGTACATTCAATTCGCGTAGATTTTTGAGAACTTTTTTCGTTGAAGGTGTTGCACTTTTTTCTATACTGAAATTTGTGTACACCATTTATCATTGTCTAAGAAAAACCATAAAATAAAGCTTAATTTAAAATATTGGAATAAAAAACAACAACGCTACATGCGCATTCATCCATATAACATAAAATGCGAACGTTCGTTATATGGAAGAAAGTGCGCAACACCGCAAACAGAAAAATTCAAAAAATCAATGGTATTTTCTAGACACTTCAAACTTGCACCTTATTATACTAGAATGAATGGGCTACAAAAATGTTAACCCAAAACATGTCTACAAATTCTGAACAAAAACTGTGAAAATTTGATGAAACTTTGTTGATTTTTTTCATTCTTTCAAATTTCGATTTATTTGCAAGGTTTTTGATAATGAGCTACAATTTTATAAAAAAAATAATTAAAATTATTTAAAAAATAAAATAAATACCGGGTGACCGTGTAATTTTGTCAAAGATGAAGGCAATGATGATAAAACATTAAGGGCCGGTTATTCAATATCTGGTTAACACTTATCTCCGGTTAAACATAGTTATCGACGTTACCGACTCCCTGTTGTATGCATGGAGTCGAAGACGTCGATAACGATGTTTAACCGCAGATTAGTGTTAACCAGACATTGGATAACCGGCCCTAATACACTATATGTGTCAGTTCATATTAATGAACATAAAATGAGATCACTATCGATAAAATGGAAATCCTCAAGGGAAACTTATAATTTCAACGCATGGAATTTACATACATTTTTTACTTTAAACCCCCGAATTGCTCAATTACTTCTATTTCTGCAGGATCGCCATTAGGTAAATTGCATTTCCAAAGATTTTTTCAAAATAAATAGCGGTGAGGGATATTTCACCCGCCGGTGATAAGAAATCGCAATCACCATAACGCACATCACTAATATAACTGTTCACAATCACGTTTACATTCAAAATTACAATTCATAATTTCGTTTTGTAGCAAATATGAAATATAAGTATATCCATTTACTTAAATGTAAACGGATTAAGAATCAAAGTGCTAGAAGAGATTTGAGCGTTTGGTACAAAAAGTATTTTTGATGTTGAAATTGTACTTAAAATCGGCAAATTGTACTTTTGTACATTTTAAAATAAATTGTACTGAAAAAAGTACAATTGTACTTAAAATATCAACACTGTTCTCTGGCGCTGTACTTGCTGCAGCGATGCCAGATTTGAGCGTACCCAATTTTTTACCGATAATAACTCATGCGAGGGATTTGGGTATTGGGCATTTTACAAGCCTAATAGGAAGTATACATATCTGTGTTCGTATAGAATAGTAGCTTATGTCGGAAGACTGGCTTTAGTATAATGAACCATTCGCAGCATACAATTGCGAAAGACTCACTGGTGCCGAGTCGTTGAAGAACTCTTGGAAAATAAACGTAAAAGACGGTAATGTTAATGGCGATGTTAGCAAGTCAATATTCGTATAAAGTTTCATAAAAAAATTCCTTGTGGTTTAAAGAATATAGGAAATGATACATTTTACTAAAGCCAGCCTCCCGACATAAGCTACTATTTCATACGAACACAAATATATTCGTCTACAAATAATGTTGATTATTTTAATTAAGTCCTAAGATAAGTTTGTGAGTCTTATCAGTGTTCTATGTAAGAACCAAAAATCAATCCCCTCGCCAATTAGAACTTTTACTTTAAAAGAAAAATATACATAGCGCATTTACTCCATACTTGGTCTGACATCACTGTTTGAGCATTGATGTGCTCAGCTCACTGTTCCCAAGGTCGTGGATTTTGCACTAAATTAAGTGCTTTTGGGAAACCAAAAAGCCAAAATAATTGGAATTCAATGCTTGGTGCGGTATTTAGTGATGCTTTTTTAATTTAAGCACACCGAATGCATAGGTACATATGTATGTATGTATACACTATACACTAATATTCTACATTAAGATGGAATTCATTTACTGAATAAAATGTGAGGAATAGGTAAATTAAATATGTTTTGCGTTGTTCTAAATGTATTGAAATTAATTTATTAATAAAAACGTGAGGAAATGGATATGTATATACACTTTTTACTGAATCAAAAAAAATATTAAACATGATAATAAAAACTTAGCGCTTTTGTTTTGGAAAAATTGGCTTTTTCTGGTGGCCTGATGCCATGATTCAATAATAAAAGGTTTGCTCCAAGGCGAATTAATATAAGGTGATAGCAGGAGTACAAAAACAAAAATTTACATGTATTTTGTTTTTGCTTTGGCGGCATAAACTGTCAAAATCTGTAAGAGTGTGTGTAGAAATTCAGACAAAATTTTTCAATTTGATATCAGAAGCCGTGCGGCGAAACACATACACAAAATCAGCTGGGCTAGTAACACCACCTTATATAAATTCGCCTTGGTTTGCTCAAAAAGCAGTTTTCTCGCTCCCTCTTGACAAAATCGGCTCCCTTAGCAAAGCACTGTGTGTGGGTTCGTGTGTGTGTGCAAAGCTTTTGTAAGGCAGCTGAGGGAGTGTCGAAAGTCTAATGTCAATAATGAGCAAACCTTTAATTATTGAATCATGGCCTGATGCCACACTGGCTCAGTTGTCGCAAAAGTGTGTAGTGGTTAATATGTAGACGGTGCCATCTCCGTACAGCTCACTTCACCTCGCCTAGCACGCTCGCGTGCTCGCAGTTTGCCCGCGATGTCGACTGCGTGTACCTCTGCTCTGCCTCCCTGCTGTAGGCAAATACTTTCTACAGCTAAATCGTCAAATAATAAAGGTATATAAAATAAAATTTTAAGTCATTATGAAAATATTTATTTCCTTGTTTTACAGATGTCCAGGACTATTTAATTACAATTCTTTTAAATGCTGTATTACCTTCCGGCGCCAGATTCAAAAGCGAAAGCGGTAAAAAAAAAACAAGAAAGTTACTATAGTTGATTCTCAGGAAAGTTTGGTTTTGCGGCTCCCAACTTTGAATGATTACCAACGGCAGGTCAATGCCGTAATTAAAAAAAACAACCTTTTTTGATTGTCGAAGGGCTGTCAGATACAAATATTAGCGGTTTCTTTGTGTGCTCTGATAATAATTTGCTTAAGTTTAATTCGTTCATTCAAAGCATAGATATTTGTTTTAAAATATTTCAAATAATGAATCTTAAATATCCAGAAGCTTGTCAGGACCCCTGGCTTTTTAATCAAATTGAAACAAAGTTCAACTTCAAATCGTCAAATATTACATCACTTTTAGCTTTTTGAACACTGATTAGAAAATAACGGAAAGATGTATACTTGTTTTCGTTGCTTAAACATCTTTGCAGCACCTGCAATTTTGATAGTTCATTTTAAAAAAGATCATTTATTAACACGAAAACTGTTAAAAATACAATGTATTCAAAACAACTGTAATCAAACTTTTACTAATTTTTCTTATTTTCACGTACATTTGGAAAATAAATAAAACAGATGACTTTCACTGTGAAACAAGTGAATTGGTAAATATCGACTTTCAAAAATGTAGCGTTTGCAGTGAGTTAGTTTTTAAGGGAATACGATATAAAGCAAAGTATTATTTGTCTATAAATAGAATAAGTTTTGAATTATATAAAATTAAATGTTTATTTATCCATAACGAAAATGCTTTTGTACTTTGTCAACAAGTAGAGGTAAAAACATTTGAGAGTCATTTAAGATCATATGATATAGGTTGTTTAGTTGATAAAATGTATTTAAAACCAATTGAAGAATTTACAAGTCCACTTTTACATATATATCCTACAAATAATGGAAAATCATATGTTAGAATGAAATATCTGTAAGGATATAATAATAAAAAGTCCTAGAAATTTTTCGAGAACGTAATTTCGTAGACCATCGAATGTCTGAATAACAATATTAATTTATGTACACTGGCAATCAAAAGTGAGTGCATGGTGTTTTTAGTTTAATATTTGCAAAGTTTTTTAAGTTAAACTTTTTTTTTTTGTTATATTTATATAAAAATATGGTTCATGCTTTAATCGAAACCACATAAGTCAAACTTTCAAACTTTTTACAAAACGTAGAAAAATTCAACAAATTTTCGTCTAAATTTTGAACTTTTTAATCTGAATTTTTAGAATTGGTCTTAACTAAAACATTTCCCAATAGATCCCGTTTGATACGTATCCTGCGAAATACTTTTTAATACACACATTTAGGTGGCAACTCCACTCAAAAATATGTAAATCTTTCTCCAATACCTTCCGTTTGATACACATATTGTAATATTTGGTGTGAATTGCATTATTCATTATTTTTCAATTTTTGGCCAGGTGGCAAC